AAAAAAAAACACTCACTCCGGAGGATCCTCGTCCAGTCGTGTAGACTCCGCGAGGAGTGAGACGATTAACATACGCCAGAAGCTGAGATTTCGCCACTCCGGGATCCCCCATGAGACACACGTTCACGTTGCCACGGATCTTCATTCCACCAGGGGCTTCACGATCGGATCCTCCAACCAACAAGAGCAATAATGCTTTCTTCACGTCAGTGTGACCGTAAATCTCGGGCGCGATCGAAGAAGCGATCTTGTCGTAGAAGTTTCCGTCTTTCACCAAATTTATCTGCCGATCGAAAAGAAACGATGAATTGAAATTCCCAACTTCAAGGGACAGGCAAAAATAAGCGAGTTGACGAGGTTTTGAGGGAGGTCAAGAAGAATTCTGGTTGGGGAGAAAGAAAACCAAGAAAAATTGCAGGAAATTGTGACTGGTGATATTCTGTGCCTTAAATTGCTTCCTAAATGAGTTGAAAGGATGCTGAACTTGGAGGCAAGGGTTCATTTGCCCAATTAGTCTTTTACTTCCTTTAAAAAACACATCAAATTACACGTTAGTTGCTCTTCTCTTTCCTGTGCCAATGAAATAATAGCGAAAAGGCCTCAGAAAATTCGAGTAACAGAGGTTTGAAAGGAAAAGCTTTCGAGTTAGGGAGTTAATGAATTGTCACTGGGAGAATTCAGACAGGGACTAGAAAAAATTAGACGCAGGGTCGTTCGAAATCGCCGAGGCTCAACCGTATCATATGCATATAAATCCTTAAACGTAGGAATCAATCTTTGACACATCAAATCAACTCATGTGGGATTATTCCATTTAAATAGATAAAATGTACCTCTTCCTGGCTGAGTTCGCCCAAATCGAGTTCCTCGTCCTCAGTCTTGTTCAAACGAACGATGCGATGAGCTTCAAGATAAGTGTCGGTCATCAGGCCTTGGGTCATGCCTCGAAACCCAGCTTGTGCCAAAGGAAGAAATATCCCAGTGATGGAAACGTGGTCTCCTGGTTGCGCCAAACGAGTCAGTTCACCTCGGCACATCACTGAAAGTGTTCTCGGAACATCTCCCGTCGGAACTTGGTCGCTCTGAAAAAAAGTTCGCAGAATACTGTATAGCCGAGAAATTTAAATTTTTGGTGTTTCACAATGCATTCACTTCACACATACGTCAAGCTTAGAGACGAACCTAAAGTAAAAAAGTTACTGAAACCATCCCAAACTTCTTTCCATTTCGACGTGACACGTCAGGATGAAGGCAGAAGCACTTTTCGGTCAGTATTGACAAGGAAAAACATTACTTACATGCTCTTGAATCTTCAGCTCTTGAAACTTGATGAACTTAGAGCCTCTGCTTTGAAGGTAAAGCTTTCCACCAGCCTTGTTGATGCGGCATTCTTCACTCGGACACAATGCAAGCGGAGTGAAGCTCAAAGAGTTGACGGGTTGGTAAGTCTCAGCACCGCACTGGTCGCAAGAATAAGTCGCAACTTGCATCAATGGCCTGACATCAGTCGCACGAGTAACGATGCCCTTGACAGCAACTAGTTTTCCGATATGTTTGGCTTTCACTTCGCGGATGCTGCAATGCTTTGAGGAGGCTCCAAGCCGGAATACCAATTCACTGTGAAAGGTTGAGCATTTTCAACTTCGAAGCTAAGATTGGAGGCAGAATTACACCACGCATCTTTCAGTTACGGAAAAGCACTCTTAAACACAAGACTAATAATATCCATGACACTTACTATCGTCGCATCAACTCCGGAGGATAACGTACACGGCTGTCAACACCACCATCGACTTCCCGGAGTTCACGAGCCCTTTTCTCAACAAGAAGACGATGTTCAATGAACACATCCAATGCATCCTTCGCGTGGACATCATGCTCTTTGTAATTTGGAAGCAGATCGAAGACAGTATCGCTGAAGAGCGCCTGGTATCGCCGAGTGTTGGCGAGCACATCTTCAGCCAACTCTCTGTCGAACTTCTCAATGTCCTCTACGTTGACCTCTATCGTCGCCTACAGGGTAATGTGCGAAATTTGAGAGTAATTAGATTAGCATTGGATTCAAGACTACGATAGCATACTTGTTCACGGTGTGCGAGTTTGCGAAGCGTTTCGACGAAGTGCGGGATGGTAGTGCCATCGTCGGTCATGGACATGTAATTTTCCAGGAAGTCCTTGATTTTCTCTGCGGAACAGAACATTGGCATATAGGACGACAGTT